GGTTTCTGCCTCTTAACAGGCAGTTTTTCCTTGCCCCGTCGCCAAGTGCTTGCTCATGGTGGTACTGTTGGGTCTCTGTAAATGTTATAAGAAGTTCGGTCTACACCTGCTCTATTTGAAAAGTGTCCTGAGATAGCTTCTGTTATTAATTGGCACTATACAAATAAAAGATTTAATTGAATACGTGGCTCAATAGAGTAGTCATTACCCAATAGTGTTTAAACATGTCAGCATGAGATAAATAAAAACACATGATCTTTTCTGAAATGACCCGAATACATGAACACTTAATGAAATAAGATGAACATGTTCCAACAGTGTTGTGGTTTCCTTTTTTACCCAATTAATAAAACAAGTTTCTTAAACTTAAAGCTATGTGACTATAGTGAAAAACTCTCACTGAAAAGAAACACAATGAAGAAATGTAGATTCATAAATGACCACTAGAATCAGGCAGCTTCTCGCCCATAAGGTTTATTTGCATCATTACAAGCAAATTGAGTTGTCTCGAGAACAACTGAACATAAAAATATGATCACATCCTTTTTATACTGGCAGTGGTCTATGTGATCAGACACTATCATAAGCTTAATAGTATCATGAATTACATTTTTGGTCATGTCGGAGGCTCACAGCATTCCTGTCTTTGAAATTGATGTATCAACTATTGTGCTGTAACATTCCTTCCACACCCTCCTGATCTAGACTTCTCCATACACCCACAAACTGCTATCATTTATTCTTCTCTCCCTTATCGTATTCAGATTCAGAAATACACTATTTTATTTTCCTCTGCTACAGCTACAGCCCATCAAGTATGAGACATCAAGGGGAATACCATCTGGATTTATGCCCTGTCAGTGACCTTCTACTAACCCTACTAGCAGCATTTTTGATTAGTATATGTATTTTTTTCTCTACACACAGAACTCATGAACAGATGAATTCACTATGCAGAGGCCTCAAATTTCTTAAACGATTAATACATTTGCATATGAAAAGTTATGAAAAATGCTTTTTTGCTTCATGCTCAGAAAACATTCTACCAGGGTACATTTTCCTACTACAACAGCAAAACGGTTACAGACAAAATGAATGATTAGTTTGTCGTTTCCTCTGTCCTATCAACAGCCCATTGAGTTGTTGCTTATATTTTCTATAGACTTGTACAATATTAAATTAAATTCAGTTGCTTTATTAGAATGAATGTCACGATTGCCAAAATATTAGGAATCAATGATACCAAGTAGATATATTTCATAAAATAAAACAATAAAAGAGGTCACAGTCATCAGGTCATAGTATATCTTTAAGGGTTCACTCATCAGGTCACTGTATATCTAGAAATTCAGTTTTGGTTAAGGTTAAGTTTCACCTCCCATTCAAAATGTACTAAACATCTACCAGATACTCAATCAAGTCCAGTTTCCAATGACTGAGCACTTTAAACTACAGAGAGGGTGTATTTGAGGATTTTTAGTTTAAATGTCCCCCTTTTTTAATATTAGGGCTAAAATAGGGGGTTGCATCTGTGTTTTCAGGGTTAAAGAGTTGAAGATTGCAGACTTAAACTCACAATGACAGCGGGTGTCTAGGCAAGAATCAAACCTTCAGGGTCAACCAGATGTGAGAGCTGTGAGTCAGAAGCTGCAGCTTCAGCTGTCAGTCTGAATAATTAGGCCAACACATTTCAGCTTTTGGCCTTCGTGTTCATTTTTAAACTCATTACAAAGATAATTTAAATAAGATGTGGATGAAACATGTGGTCCAACAATAAAGCGGTTGTTTATACTAATTACTACATTTTAGTTTGGACCTCTGCAGACTTTTTTTTTAAAAAACTTATTTTTTTATTGTACATGAACTGACAAACATACATACATACATACATACATACATACACGTAACATACATTAGGAACACACATTAGGATACACTATTGCAGTTTCAGCTCTCACATATAATCATGTCCTCAAATCTTTCTACCTCCTTCTTAAAAGGAATGAACATGAGCAACATGTAGCATTAACTACATACATTTATTGTTTTTTTTATACTGCAGTAAGTGTAAAAATACAACTAAAAATGGAGAAGAAAAAAAAGGAGGGGACTAAAGTCCTGACATTGTCTGTATTACTGGTAACCATCTTTCATCAAACCTGACTGATTTTAACTCCTTGCTGTGACACTTTTTTTTACCCTTTCCTTCCATTCCCTTATACTGGGGGGCTGTGGCTTCAACCAAGAAGTGTGTAGCCGTTTTCTTCGCTATTAAAAGCAGAATTCTCAGTAAGAAAGTCAGGTCCCTATTTATGACAATATCTGGTCATATCTCTAAAGTCAATACCCAAAACATGTTTTATTTTCTTTTGAATATTCTTCCAGAAATCTATAATTTTAGGGCAATCCCAAAATATATGTATAAAGTCCCCCACCAATCCACACCCCCTACAACACATCTCAGAAGAATTATTATATTTTAAGGTGATAGAGTGTTAAAATACCTCACTTCCAATCAAACTCCCTCCAAGTTGGACTGCTAGGTAACCTATGTCCTGCTTTGAATGTTTCTTCCCATTGTTCATCTGTTATTATAATATATGCTTCTAATTCCCATTTTTCTTTGACATCGAAATTGTTATTGTTAGATTCCTGTTGAAGTATCTTATACAATTTTAATATAGCCCCTTTCTTTGTCTCTCCCTCTGAAAATGTCATTACCAATTCTTCTAGTTTAGATGGATACTAATCCAGATACTCTCCCAATCCTTACGTGTCTGAAGGTAATGTCTAAGTTGTAAAAACTTGTAAAAATCATGGGCTGGTAAATTTAATTCTGCTGCTAACCTCCCTTCTCTTTCAGACAAAGAAGTGTCCTACATTTAATTCTAGCCTTTTTTTTTCCAAATACATTTGATATGATTTTGTCTAATATTTTAAAAGTAGAATTAGAAACCATAATAGGCAATGACTGGAACAAAAACAAATCTTAGTAATACATTCTCTCACAGTTTCTATCCTCCTATCAAGGTCATAGGTGAAATCTCCCATCTAGCAAAATCTTTTTTAATTTCCGTTATTAGTTTCCTATAGTTTGTTTCAAATAGCTGTGATAATGATACCCAGATATCTGAACCCTATATTAGTCCATTTGAACTTGGATTTACTCTCTAAATCTGCTATACACTGACCTGAGATCATCAAAGCTACTGATTTAGCCTCCTTGGTCAGATATCCTGATATCTCCCCATAATCGTTCAGGTTATTCACCAGGGCTATTAACAAAGTGGAAGGTTCACTTACATATGTTAATATATCATCTGCAAATAAGGATATTTTGTGTTCTATCCCTCCTTCCCTTTATATCTTTATTCTGTCTTACTGACTCAGCCAGTGGTTCAATACTTGCGTCAAATAATAAAGGACACAGACAGACAGACAGTACAGGTTCAGATCCTTTGCCTGATCCTCTTTTTTTATGTGAGAAAAAATGTTAAAAAGAGTATCGGGTCTGACTGCTCTATTTGAAAATTGTCCTGAGATAACTTTCTGTTATGAATTGCGCATACAAATAAAATTAATGAAAAATTCTAAGCAAAGCCATGACTAATCGTGGATTTGGGTTTTTTGTATACCAAATTTTTTTTACCCCCAATCTATGAAGGTTGAATGAAATCCGAAATTTGCCAGCGTTTGGTAAAGGAAGCTCCATTTTATCCACTCAAATGCTTTTTGTGCATCTAAGCTGAGCAACATGGCAGACTGAGATTTGTTTGTGGTACATGAGATAAGATTCAATGTCCTGATTATTATTTTTGTTATATGCCTCTGCATTCTCCGTGCCATTATATTTGTTAATATTTTCAAATCATTGCACAGAAAGCTGACAGGTCTATATCCCTACCCGAAATGATGACTTCTGACCAAGTCTTTGGCGAGTCACCTGATGACAGAGCGTAATTAAAGACTATATAACACTGTTTTTTTTTCCCTCACAATCCCTCCTGAAGAAGCACCAGGCGTGCAAAACATCGTGGCTGATTGCTTGCTGCCTTTCACCTTTTAATTAGCAAAATGTATTAATTATTTCACAAACCCAAGTTAGTTTTTAAATTTTATTATTAAAAGCTAAGTTTTAAAACAGCACTTGAGCCAGCACCCACCTGTCGGAGCGCAGCCTTCTCCCTCAATTGAACCCTTGCTCAGCTACGGTAAGTGTATTGACTCATTTCCGGTTTACTTCCTGCTCTGTGTACACTGTTTGGTCTTGTAGCTGTGTCATGAACGCTAAAATAAACTTGTTTACTCGTTACAGCGGTTATTAACCCGCCATACATACATACATACATACATACATACTATGTTATGCTATACAAATAAAATAGAATTGAATATTAATATGAATGAATGAGTCTGTAAATTGGGAAATCTTACCTGGTTAAGTCGTAGATGACTTTCAAGTCTTCCACATCACGAATGGATGATCGCTTCTTCCAGTCAATTTCGTCTGTTTCAACTCTTAACAGAAACAAAGAGTTAAGTATGCATCCAGATTCATGTTAAAGCTGCATTTTCTCAAAAGGCACCGTTAAATGATTTTACATTTGAGATTTAGAAAAAAAAACTGTATATAAAATAGAAATGACAGTGTCCTACAAACCAATGCAATGAGCATATGATTGACAGCAGATTACTGTTAAATGAGTGTGTGTGTGATTGTGACTGTAAGTAGTATAATGATTCACATGCAGCAGGTGAGCGGGTTACCTGTTGGAAAACACTGGTGGAGGCAAAGAGGCACACAACAAACCACTGAGGAAGAGGAGCTGAAGATACATCATCACATACATTGATGACTTCCTGTCAAACATGAAAATATATTTTAAAAAAAGACTTTAGAGCCCAAAACTGTCAGGAGAACAGATTCGACACCAATTTCAATTCAGTTTTATTTGTATAGCGCCAATTACTAACGGAAGTTATCTTAAGACACTTTTCAAATGTCTAGACCAAACTCCTTATAACGTTTACAGAGACCCAACAGTACCACCAGGTCAATGCCAAAGTTAGGAAAACTGTCAGAATGTCAACTCCTCATTCATTTTGCGATACTTTGTTGTTCCTTTATTTCTCATTTTATTCTCTGGTCATTTAAATTACTCTCGCATGTTTACACCCCTAGCAGATAGTCTATATGAAAACCAAACCATTGACTAAAGAGTGGAAAGTACACAGGCAGCAATAAAGAATAAGTTGAGTAGCATTTCCTTTTTATTTCTTACTTGAATGATACACACCACTGTTGTTTGTGATGTTCAAATGGGTTAAATAAAGGTGTGTATGTTGATACATGGGATGTATTGTTTTGTTTTTTAGTGTAGAATTTGGTTTTGAGAATCGTGGAATTTCACTATTATTAGTATCCACTACATTTCTGTTATCGTGCCATTTCTACACACAAATATTGTCTAATGAAAAAGAAAAACCTCTTGCTTTATCGCAAGCTTATTTTGCTTTATAGAAATGATCATTGTGGATAGACATTTCTCTGCAGCTGGGTCATTCTCCCTGACACGGTGGCAGTAAACATTCCAACATAAACAGTAACGTCTCTCTGGATGTAGAGCTCTACTGTTGTATGGCCACAAACACACCAGCGTTCTCACACAGTTTATCAGGACTTCTTCATTTGACTTTGTACTCTGATAAATTTCAAATCACATTCGTTACAAAGTAAATGGTAAATGGACCTG